GTCGAGCACCACTTCTGGAGCAGCGTTCAGATCAACACCAAGGTGACATTTCCATGTGCATGACTCCCAATGAAATGAGGATTTTGAGTGTATCTCTTCTGTGTGTGATCCCTTCTCCTAGTCACACCATAGTTTATTTATTTATTGAGGGGAAGCTGCAGATTTAGGTATTTATAGTTTTAGAATACTCAAATTAACCCAGTAGAATTCGTTATAGTAGCATTTGAAGGTGAGGCAATTTCCCCTCATTTAGGATAATTGGAGAAGTGATGGAACTATAGTTGTAAGTTTTGAAGACAACGCAGCACCACTGGGAAAAAGGTCGAGATCAGACAATGAGGAATTCAGCAAAAGATTTTAGTTGCTTTGGTTGGTTCGTGTCTAGACTGTTTTATCCCTTTTTTCTTCTAAAGTCGTTCATAGACACGATTACTCATTTATTTTCTCCACTCTTTAGTTAATCTCAGGTGTTAATAAGAAATCTGCTTTTTGCATCTCTTTAGTTAATCTCAAGTATTAAAATTTTAAGAAATTTTTTCTTTCTGAAAGTTATAATCAACTGGAACGAAAGTGGTTTAGTTTCCCTTACTTAGTAGATAATTCCCAACAAAAAATACAAAACAATTTATCATTATTGGTGCATGAAATACAAAGATTTTAAAATGGAAATGGTAACTTCTTTCTCTATCTCTTCACAGTATTTACTGACCATTTAGTCATCTCACAACATTTGGGTCTTTTTAATTTTCGTTATTCGTCTTCTTGCGGAAAAAATGTGTCTTTGTCTTTGAGAAAAATTGTACTCCGGTTCCGTAGGCCATGGTCATTGATTGACCACTCCTCATTGAGCATGTTGCCCTCAAACACGAAGTGATACATCATACCTTTGTGGCACAGTAATGAATCCTTTTTCATAGGATTCCAAACAACCGAAATTAGAAAATCCTCCAATACAAGGCTTACAATATTACTATCGTTTGTTTTTTGACTGAAAAACTAATATTTTTTCTTCCAAAAGGAAAATTAATTTTCATTGATTTACATATATAGTCATCCACATTCTGAGGAATGATGTTTTAGTTTCCTGCAATATTTTCATGTTTATGTACAAACAATTTTTTTTATAGAATGTAAAAGGTGAAGTAGCATTGGGTGTTGTGAAAATGCGTTGCATTCTCAAGAGACAGATGCAGTAACATTTATGTTGGGAAAACTAATTTAAACATATAGTTGGGAACTAGACATGATACGGTTTTTCATCCAAAATTTGTGTACATTTTAGTTTCATGAGAAAAATATTTTTCTTCTGCTTAAGTTCACGAGAAAAAGGTTAATACGACATAAAATATTCCTCCTTTTTGTTTCAAGTGTTGCCATGCTGAACGTTCAATGTGAAGGAGGTTGGTGCTCTTGAGGAGAAGGTGGTTGATCTTGGCATGGATGAGGTCTGAAATATTCCTTCTACATTTCCCATTTTTCTATATACAAAATTTTGGCTTGTCAATTTTACTTTACCATATAATCAGGCAACTTCGGTTCACTTGCATGTCATAATATATGTAATTTTCTTCACTTCTATCTGCATAAATCATTTCCTGTTTAGATTTAATCTATAATTAACATGTTCGATTAATGTTAATATAAAGTTTATAGTACTTTGCCTACCATATATACATATATACACCCGCGTGTCCTCCATCTCACTCACTTTGCCTCAATGCCCCCCTCCAAATCCAAACCCAAAACCAAATCAATCTCTATTTCTCCAGTTAGTTTGAAGCTCCCCATTGACAAAAAGCATTAAAAAAAAAGTTCTCTTCGCCGAAGCTGGCAAGGATTTTGTTCACTTTCTCTTCACCCTTCTATCTCTACCCGTCGGCACTGTGATCGGGCTCCTCTCTAGGAAACGCATGGTCGGTTGTTTAGGCAAACTCTAAAGCAGCTTAGAGAACTTAAACAACGCATACTTGCAACCCAACCTCAACAAGGATGTCCTTCTAAAACCTAAGAAGCTGACAATGCCAATTGGTGGCACCCATCAACTTCTTCCTGCATTGACCAACGGTGAATCAACACATGTCGGTCATGTTAGCCGTCAAGCTACTCCTACTCTGGCGAGGTATGCTATGTGGTTGACGACCCTAAGGCCATTTGTCCAAAGTGTCATAACTTCATTTCCAAACCCCACGACTTATGTTGCTCCACAGGCAATTGCAACCGGCGGGAAGGGAGGTGGGTTTGTGAGAGAGGCTGTGACTTACATGATAACGGATGATATGGAAGTGAAGCCTATGTCTGCCATTTCAAGTATCGCTCTGTTTAAAAACTTTGATGTTAGGGATGTTCGTTCACTTGAAGAGATTGTGGTTTCTCTCGATAAGGATAAGGTTTGTGTTTATTAATATTTTCTAACGTGATAAATTACTATTCTATATATTCAAATATTGCACTTGATATTCTATAAGAATTTATGATGAAGAGCATTTTTGTTTAATTACCTTGTTAGGGTTTGAAATTGTTGAAAGGTATTGTTGCAGTCAAATGCAGTTTTGAAGAATGTGTTCCTTTAAGCAGCATTTCAAGTTGACATTTTGAAGCTTCTTTTGGAATGTTTTTTTTATAAATATGGATGACGTATCCTTTGTTTTACAATATTAATTGGCTGAATGAATTGGATTGGGTACGTATTGGACCTCAAACTAATAGAAAGAGATCAAATTCGTCTGCTTTCTTCTTCTCTCTTGAAAAAGCAATGAGGTTTTTTCACTTAAAAAAGCAATGATGTCATCACTTGGGAACGGCAATTCTCGAGTAACATCAAATTAATTGATCTTCATAATTTCATATCTAAATCCATATTAAAAGAGTACATCCCAGCGGTTATACTCCTTTTTTTTTCATGAAATTAATAGTATAGCCAGGTGGCGATAATCCATTTTTAAAATTTTTTATTCCAATGAATAATATAACCGGGCGGCTATACTGGTTAAATATAATATAAAAATAGTATGGCCACGCCTCTATACAGTTATTTTGGTATTTTTTTTAAATTAATACTCTAGCCGAGCGGCTATACTTTTCAAATATAAAAATTAGGTCAGATTTCTTCTTCCCAGCGTCGCCTTCTCTCTCTCTCTCTCTCTCTCTCTCTCTCTCTCTCTCCGTCTTTCTTCCTAACAAGCAGCGGATCCTGCGCACTTCAAACACCCTTCGTCCACGCCTAAAAGGCAAAATGCCAGCCCAGACCCTCCTAGGCCGCCTAGAGCCACCTAGACCTTCCTTGAGTGCCAAGGGGAGCCTAGGGCCGCCTAGGGCAGCCTAGGCGGGCGCCCAGACGCCGCTAGCTCCCTGGCGCCTACCCTTGGATGCCACATCCTAGAAGGGTACCTCTTGGTGTACTGGAACTGACTTAAGTTGGTTCGAAATTGAAAGATAATGAGCTTTTGGTTGGTGTGGAATTAGGATTACACTGTTTTCACAGCATTGTGGCAGGTCACTAGTGAATCAACCTTCCTAGTCTGATGATCTTGTACTGAAATACTAACTAATAGGGTCCATGCAAACTTAGGTCATTTCACTTGATTTTGTTCCATCTCCTGCATTTAAACATGTTTTTGCTTATGAACTTTTTATCTTTGAAGTTGCTGAATCACTTGCCATATGGAACCAGACCTTATTTACTATTATTTTGGGCCAGCTGCAGTAGGTGCCCCTTGAAAAGTCTATAATGCCTCCATTTATATTAAAAATCCCCAATTAGAAGTGAATTTTGATTGGATGGTAGTGTCTGATACTGCTAGCGAATCATCAAAATCGAAACCAGGTAATATAAAACGAGTTAAGGTAAATGAATTGAGTAATGCTAACGTTGTCTTGGAAAAAGTTCCATTTGAAAATGCTTCATAATATTTTCATTGATGTCATCTTTCCTAAGTAAATTAAAAAAAGACGATAGAGTTTTCAAATAAGGATTTTGAATAGCTGGGTCCATATTAATTCCAATCAGGATTGTTGACCTTTATTTTCCCTGATAATTCTTTACTTTGCTGTGTTCTTCAAATCCTGACATAATGTGTTTTGGACTTTGCTGTGTACAGGAGGAGGAGGATGATGCTGGTCTCTAATTGCCATGTTTGTTGCTAATCAACTGGTTGTACAGTGCTGTAACACCCTGGTAACTCATAATAGGATTTTTCTTGTATATTCACTAATACAAGGACCAATTCCTGAATGCCTTTTCAAGCCAAGCAATTTATATTAAACGTTCCATTCTTAATGCTCTCTCTCTCTCTCTCTCTCTCTCGACGATATACGTGGGCTTTGATTTCAATAGCATTCCCAACTTAAAAAGAATGATAAGTGAAAATGGTTGTAAGTTGTTACAATTTGATTCCATTGAGCACTCTCATCTAAATCAGGGAGAATATTTGATTAATCAGTTTTGTCTGGTTTAGGATACGTGAATGGATTTGATCAATACAATTTATAATTAAATTGAGCTATAAAGATCCATGTGTAGTCAGTCCAAGATCTAAATCCCGGTCATATGAATGAAATAAATCTTATAACCCAGCTAGCGGTTCTCTTCTATACAGATTATCATTTGTGAAATAAGGAATTCTCATCTTCAAAAGCAGCCTTATAATGAATAGAATATTACGGGGTAATTTTTCATTGTATTACTTCCTTGAAATATATACATATATAATCCTTGTTCTACAAGGAAACACTATTCAATAAAGGATACAACAATAAATCCTTCCTAATAAAGGACTCCTATAGTATTCACAATATATTTACATACTTATTTAAATAACTCACGTTTACACTCCCCCTCAAGTTGGTGCATATATATCACACATGTGCCCAACTTGTCAAGTGAGTTACCAAACTTTCGAGTACATACTGCATGAGTAAGAACATCTGCAAGTTGTCCCTTTGACTCCACAAACGGTATTGATACAATCTTCTTCTCAAGCTTCTCTTTGATAAAATGACGATCAAACCTCTACATGCTTCGTTCTATCATGCTGTACTGGGTTATCAGCTATGTCCCTTGCTAACTTGTTATCACAAAACAACTTCATGGTATCCTTTGGTTTAAACCCAATTCCCAAAAGAAGTTTTCGGAGCCAAAGGATTTTACAGATTCCTTGAGCCATACCTCTATATTCGGCCTCAGCTGAAGACCGTGACACCAGCTTCTGTTTTTTACTTCGCCATGTCACCAAATTCCCTCCAAAGAAGGTAAAATATCCAGAAGTAGACCGTCTATCAGTTACATCACCTGCCCAATCCGCATCAGTAAACCCTTCAATCCTCAAATGCCCATTTTTCTATACAAGACTCATTTTCTAGGTGCCGACTTCAAGTATGCCAAGATACACATAACAACAACTATATGATCCACACTCGGTGAATGCATGAACTGACTCACAACACTCACAGCGTAGGCAATATCAGGACGAGTATGAGCCAAATAAATCAATCTCTCTACAAGTGTATGATATCTACCCTTATAAACGAATTCCTGCTTCGGATCCAAACACAAATGATGCTTCTCAACAATAGGAGTCTCTACTGGCTTACATCCCAACATACCAGTTTCTTTTAATAAATCCAGTACATACTTATGTTGAGACAAGAAGATACCTTTCGACGAGCGAGCAACTTCAACTCCCAAGAAATACTTCAAATCCCCTAAGTCCTTCATCTCGAATTCGACCGTGAGATTTCCTTGCAACTTGGACATCTCATCAGCATCGTTTCCTGTTATAATCATGTCATCTACATAGATAATCAAGGTTGTGACTTTATTCTGTCTACGCTTCACAAATAAAGTGTGATCAGAATGACTTTGACAATATCCATTCTTTCTCATGACTTGGGTAAATCTACCAAACCATGCACGGGGCGATTGCTTAAGTCCATAGAGTGACTTACACAACCGACATACTCCGGTGTTCTCACCATTGCTATATCCAGGAGGAAAATCCATATACACTTCTTCCTCCAAATTCCCATGGAGAAATGCATTCTTCACATCAAACTGTTTTAATGGCCAATCCATGTTTGCAGCTAAAGAGATAAGAACACGTACCATATTCATCTTGGCAACCGGGGAGAAAGTCCCCTGGTAATCTACCCCATATGTTTGGGTATATCCTTTAGCCACCAACCTTGCTTTGTATTTGTCTACTGATCCATCAACTTTATATTTAACTGTAAACACCCACTAGCATCCCACTGTCTTCTTCCCTACGGGTAACTTCATCACCTCCCAAGTATTATTTTTCTGCAATGCCTACATTTCCTCATCCATTGCTTTTGCCCACTTTGGATCTTTTAGAGCTTCCTCCACTCGAGTTGGTACTTGGATAGACTCCATATTACTTACCAAAGTCTGATGCTCTGGTGCAAGCTTATTGCATGATACATAGTTGGCTATCGATTACTTCATCTTTCCTTCAGGAGAAAACCTATCAAGAGGCACACCTCGATTTTGTCTTGGCGGCAATTTATAAGTACCTACACTTGGATTAGTTAGACAATCACTTACGATACTTACCTCAGGCATATTCAGAGAAGATGCATTGGGTGGCACTTCAGAATTAGACAGAGAATGCGTACTAGGCTCCACAATAATGGATATACTGGGCTCCGCACAAGGTTGTTCAATAATAGGGTTCTTCTTGATAGTAGCTTGCTGAGACTCTCCTAGTATGGGCTCAGTACCAAGTTCTACACGTTGTTCAACAGTCACATCTCCCCTAGATCCAACCAACTCAGATTACCATCAGTGTTCTCGCCTTGGTGATCTGAAGTTGAAGGTACGGAAGTGTAGAAATATTATGTTTTAGAGAAAGTCATATCCATGGTTACATACATATGTCGGGTCTCAGGATGGTAACACTTATACCCTTTTTTGGTGAGACAAGAAACCCACAAAGACACACCGTAGTGCACACAGATCCATTTTACTACGATGTATTTTTGAATATGAACATAAGCCACACAACCAAACACTCGAGGAGTGAGAGTATTACTAGACACCACTGGAGTATGTTGAGTGAGGACCTGAATAGGTGTTTGAAATCCAACCACCTGAGAGGGCATACGATTAATGGCATACATGGCATAAGTAACAGCTTCAGGCCAAAACCGTTAAGGAACCGAGGCCCCAAGGAGTAAGGCACGGGCTGTCTCCAAAATGTGACGATTTTTGCGCTCTGCAACCCCATTTTGCAGTGGGGTATACAGACATGTGGTTTCATAGAGAATCCCTTGACCACAGAGAAACTTCGACAACTCAAAATTAATGTATTCTCCTCCATTATTGGAACGTTGAACTTTAATAATGGAAGAATATTGCATCTGAACCATCTGAGCAAATGACCGAAATATGGCACCAACATCACTTTTATTTTTCAACACATAAAGCCATGTCATATGAGTGCAATCATCAACAAATGTAACAAACCACCGAAGTCCAGAAGAAGTAACAACTGGAGAAGGCCCCCAAACATCGGAATGCACAAGATCAAATGGAAAATGTCTTTTATTCATACTAGGAGGAAATGAAGCACAATGGCTTTTAGCAAGAATACATACTTCACAATGCAAGTCTAATTCATTTATTCCACTAAATAAACGAGGCAACATACGCCTTAAATAGCTAAAGGATGCATGGCCTAATCGACGATGCAATAACCATACTTCTTGTAAATTACTACCATGGAGCACTCAGACTGCATGAGCTCTGCGAGGAACGACATCATCCACGTAGTACATGCTACGGCAACTTACGGAACGCGTCGCTCGCATCGAAGCTCGAACCCAAATAGGTAAGAGTTCTGACGGGGAGAGATGCATGAACCCTTATCTGAACCAAGTAGCTCGCATCGACACTCTAAGCCGTGGGAGTCTCGACAGGGAGTACGAGGGATAGCCCTTTTCATTATTGCGCTTCGCTGTGTAAGTCAAGTGAAGAGGGGCACGGTTATTCTCATTGTGTCTTTGAAGGTATAAATAGATTTGGTAATTTTGGTGCATCTTGTTATTCATCAAAGTTATTAAATTTTGATTTGCCTCCAATATTTGATCCTTGCAACTGTGAAAATTGCAATGAAAATTGTTTGGGTGTTCAAAGCAATTTTGATAAGCAATTTATTGATCAGAACAATGAAGAGATGAGAATTAAGAAAACTTTCGAAGATATTATTGATTTTTTGGGCATTAATGTTTTCACTTGGAAGGTTGCCAAAACTTTGGCTGATTTTGTCAATCGGTTGAAGATTCTAGAGAGAAACATTTGCATTGTTAGAGGGAGTAAGAAGAAGCCAAGAATAAAGAAATATTCCAAATATCTTTTTATTTGGAAAGGAAGGTTTCAATTGGATGCTAAAAGATCCAGAATTAATATGAAGCAATTGAAGATTCTACTCGGATTTTCCTCAATCAAAGGCTTGAATTCGAGGACGAATTCTTTCCAACCAGGGGAGTCTGATGCAGAAGCATAGGGGTGGATCAAGATAGATATTTACCATTTAATTAGTTATTTCATGATATATTGTTATTTTCTTATTTAGATAGTTTTAGGATATCGTTTATTATTTATGTGTGATTTTATAATTAATTAGTTTACTTTTGGACCAAGCAATCTTGATACCCACGTCTTGTAAAGCCTATAAATAAGGCTACTGTCATAATTGTAGGGAATGGAATATTGATGATTAATGAAATAGTTTATTTGTGGCATGGATTTGCTACGATATATGTGAGTTTGCACTAGCCCTAGATTTCAGTGCTCGTGTATGTGGTTGGTGACCTGTGTCCCGATCCCCAATCCCCATCACTGCAGAGTTGGCTTTGTGGTTGACTGATGCAGGGTCCAAGGTGACCCTCCCACTTCATGATCCATTCACCATTCCATTTTTTAATTTTTTTAATTTAGGACTTCTTTCTAAGCCTATAAATGGGTCTTTTTATAAACGCTTATGCATATGCTACCCTTCTCCTCTGTCCTCAATATTGCCTGAATCGCTACCACCCACAGCGCTACGTACTGTGAGTTTGAAGCTCCTGATTGACACAGAAAGCAACAAAGTTCTGTTTGCTGAAGCAAGCAAGGAAGTTGTGGATTTTCTCGATACTCTTCTGTCCTTGCATTTTGGAACTGTGACTAGGCTCCTTCTCTCTAATGGTGGCATGGTTGGTTGCTTAGGCAAACTTTACGAGAGCCTTGAAAATCTCAGTGACACATACATGCAACCCAATCTTAACAAAGACTCCCTGCTGAAAAAGACAACAACTTCTGGCTCTAACATCCTTCAATTGCCAGCCAACAATGACTCGAACACGCCTAAACGGTTCTACCTCTGTGTAAATTGCAAGCGCCATATTTCTGATAGTACATATTTTGTTTGTGCTTTTGATTCTTAGGGCTTTGGTGAAGGCATCGTTGGAGTCAAAAACCGCTCTTACAAATGTTTTCCTTGGTAATAAAGTGCATGAAGGTTTCAGCTTTGGTCCTCTAAAGAAATTGAGCTTTTGGAGGTTCATTTTAGTTTGTGGATTGACATTGACTGTATTGGCGTACATTGGATTATTTCAACTTTGGCCCTCTGATCTTATTGTTAACAAATATTATACAGCAAGATATGGTAAAAACGACCCAACTTTCCTTGATACAAAAATGAACAAGGACAATCGATCCTGTGGCTGAAGTAAACTTGCTCATCTACACTGCTCCACAAGGATAAATGTGGACTTTATGAAGCACTGATTCTTTAAGGCATTTGCACTGTTTTGTTTTTCGTTTTTCTGTTGATTTTATGTTTTGGGCCTCCATTTCTTCGTTTCTTTTCGGCATCATCAAATCTAAAACCAGTGTGACAAAATTACATGTTCTAGTGATCTATTATCTTCTCTCTCTTCACCTATCAAATTTCTCTCCTCTTACTTGATCTATGAAGTTCATCATCCATTCCAAAGAATAAACTTATCCATGTAATTATGGATCAGTTTTCTTGACGTCATCAATGGCAATCACCAAAAATAAGGTGAAACTCCTAGTCCATGTAAAAAAGCCACAAAATTCTGTTTGCTGAAGGGAGCATAGACCTGTTAGTTGACTTTTTCACTGTCTTTGGCCTCCAAACTAGTGAAGTCTGAAGATACAATACAACTAATATGAAAAAGCAAATACAAAACAAAACGAATTGTAAATCTGGCTGTTGGTTTAGTTAATGAATGCCAACTAGTGGAAATAAATGCATATTTATTCACTCATCCGTAGATCATATTACCTGTGCATAGGTAATGACAGATTTGTTTATGTAGAGTTGCTTTGTGGTTGACTGACTATGCAATGTCCAAGGTGACCCTCCACCTTCTTGATCCATTCACCATTGGCATTCGCCCTCTTCCTGATAACTCATATTAAAAGAGTAATCCGTTTTAAAAGAATTTTATTCCAATGAATAGTACAGCCGGGCGGCTATACTGTTCAAATATAATATATAAAAATACTATTTTGTCTTCAAATCAAATTAATAGTATAGCCGACCAGCTATACGTTTCAAATATAAAAATTAGGTCAGATATCTTCTTCTTCCCAGCGCCGCCTTCTCATTCCTCTCTCTGTCTCGATCTCTCTCTCTCTCTCTCTCTTTGTTTTTCTTCCTAACAACAGCGGATCCTGCGCACTTCAACAGCCCTTCGTCCACGTCTCAACGGCAAAACGGCCACCCAGACCCTCCTAAAGCCGCCCAGACCGCCTAGACCTTCCTAGAGCCGCCTAGAGCCCCCAAGGGACGCCTAGGCCCGCCTAGAGCCCCCAAGGGACGCCTAGGCCCGCCTAGAGCCGCCTAGGGAAGCCTAGGCCCGCCTAGAGCCGCCTAGGGAAGCCTAGGCCCGCCTAGAGCCGCCTAGGGACGCCTAGGCCCGCTTAGAGCCACCTAGAGCCGCCTAGTGCCGCCTAGAGCCGCCTAGCTCCCTGGCGCCTACCCCTGGATGCCACCTTCTGGAAGGGTACCTGTTGGTGTACTGGAACTGACATCAGTTAGTTCGAAATTGGGATTTTGTTTGGCGTGGAATTAAGATTGCACTGTTTTCGCAGTCATATGGCAGGTCACTAGTGAATCAACCTTCCTAGTCTGATGATCTTGTACTGAAATACTAACTAATAGGGTGCATGCAACCTTAGGCCATTTCACTTGATTTTGCTCCATCTCCTGCATTTAAACATGTTTTTGCTTATGCACTTTTTATCTTTGAAGTTGCTGAATCACTTGCTATATGGAACCAGACCTTATTTGCTATTATTTTGGGCCAGCTGCAGTAGGTGCCCCTTGAAAAGTCTATTAATGTCTCCATTTATATTAAAAATCCCCAATTAGAAGTGAATTTTGATTGGATGGTAGTGTCTGACACTGCTAGCAAATCATCAAAACCGAAACCAAGTAATATAAAAAGAGTTTAGGTAAATGGAAAAAGTTCCATTTGAAAATGCTTCAAAATATTTTCCTTGATGTCATCTTTCCTGTGTTCTTAAGAATTTAGTTTGCTGTGTAAATTAAAAAAAAGAAGATAGAGTTTTCAAATATGGATTTAGTTTGCTGTGTTCTTCAAAAATAAGGATTTAGTTTGCTGTGTTCTTCAAATCCTGACATAATGTGTTTTGGACTTTGCTGTGTACAGGTGGAGGAGGATGATGCTGGTCTCTAACTGCTTTGTTTGTTGCTAATCAACTGGTTGTACAGTGCTGTAACACCCTGGTAACTAATAATCAGATTTTTTTTGTATATTCACTAATACAAGGAATAATTTCCTGAATGCCTTTTCAGGCCAAGCAATTTATATTAAACGTTCCATTCTTAATGCTCTCTCTCTCTCTCTCTCTCTCTCTCTCTCTCTCTCTCTCTCTCTCACGATGTACACGGGCTTAGATTTCAACAGCATTCCCAACTTAAAAAGAATGATAAGTGAAAATGGTTGTAAGTTGTAACAATTTGATTCCATTGAGCACTCTCATCTAAATCAGGGAGAATATTTGATTAATCAGTTTTGTCTGGTTTAGGATGCGTGAATGGATTTGATCAATACAACTTATAATTAAAGTGCTGTACCATCCTCCACACCAGGCATGCCAGGAGTGCCCGGCAACCATCCAATATTGTCAGATGAAACTTGCAATGTTTTCTGTACTCGAGATGCCTGTAATTAAAAGAATGAAACAATGACTTGTAATTAAAAGCAATGAATTATTTGCGCTGAGTAAAACAGAATCCAATCTGAACTAAAACTAAAAGAAACTATTCATAGACTCTATGGAATACGAGTCCATCAGTTTGCATAATTGAAATATACTTCTTTTACCTACAAATTCGAAGATGAGCACATCCAACGTACACGACAGAACTTCTCCAACAAGAAATTGCCAATCTCCAAGAAAATTGTAAACCGTGTAATGGTAGTGTCAACCTACATCAAGATGAAGCAACATCACCAATCGAACGATGGAGATGACTTGATTGAGATTTGAGAAATGCAAAACAGTTACAGTAAGTCATACTTCTGATAAACACTTGTAATTAAGGGAAGGAGGTGAAAAAGATTAAATATTACAATTAATCATTCAGTTCACTTAAAAGTAGATGGGCTCATGATGTTTTCTCATGAAAACTAGATTAGTTGCCTGACCTCAGTTTTTTAATGCGTACTCAAGTCTTCAAAGATTGATATTGAAGAACGCTAATAGCAAAAAACGGTACTACCCTTTAAAAATGAAGGGGACATCTGTATAATTGAAATTGGTTTCTACAATTTCAGATCTTGTATCTTCCGTAGGCTCTGAGGATCTTCTTTCACAGGTTTCAGGGTTACAAGGTTTTGAAGATGATGAACAACCTTCAGCAAATGATTTACAAATGCCGTTTCTCAATGATCTTAAATGCTGTCCAGCAGAAATGACCAGCAAATCATCCGAGTATCTATCAGCATCTCTGACCGCAAGATCCTCTGCAATAACATCATTTCCAAATCCATCCATAACATTATAAGAAGATGCATGAGTGTGCATACATGTAAGAATAGTAGAAAGAACCTCACCTATAACTTGAATAAATCGACGACTTATATAACTAGCCAGTGTAAATAGACGGGTGAAAATGTCATCCATTGATGAGTAGAATCCCAGACTATACAAGGACCTATATTAGATCTTTAAGCACAAGGTGTGAATCAAACTGACAAAACTAAAGATGCCAAATTGAAACTTCAAATCCCCATAACCTTATTCCTTATGTGGGATAACATAAAAAAGAAATAAAAAAATCAATAAGCTAATTATAATTTCTTAGCTAATCTTGATCAAGAATAAGAAAGTTACAATAGAGAAGAGATACAACAAACATACAGAAAAAGTAGAGATAATTTGCAATAATGCACAATCGTAAAGTTGAAAAGTACTCGCTGCGAGAGGCATTTCAGATATTTCATTTTCAATATAGACATCACCCATTAATTCTTCGAATCCTGAATTATGCAACAAAACTATTAAGGTGATGCTACTCAAAAGGACGAAACTTTGACACAATCAGTTTATAACAATAAGAACCCAGATGAGTAAATCAATCATATGATGAGAAAAACACAACAAATCAACCCCATTCTTTCAACATACTGAACTTAAGTAACTCATAATCAAAACAAAATGTAATAAAGATATCAGATAGCAACTTACAGTCAAAGAAGGACAATCTGCAGAACCCAGAAACAGCCTGTGGCTCAGCAGAAGCAAAGCCACTTTAATTTATAGAGGGAAGAAGAGAAGGAAGAAAAATCTGCAGACCCAATTTCCAAAGAAGTTTAAACTTGCTAAACATGAGCTGCCATAATTTTGAATCCCATCAATAGACTAAAAGAAAATGAAGTGAAAGAAATAGACTGAAAGAAAGTGGCTGCAGAAATGTGTCTGCAATGACACAATATTGCTGGGGTCAAAAGGCAGTGCATCTGATACAGTTCTTGCTCGAAATATCGGCTTCAATGAAGAAAATGGTACACGTACCTGGGAAAAATGCGACAGACCTACCCTGGCACACAGACCCTAAACCCTAAAGAACCAGACCCACCTTGGCACCCAGACCCGCTTAGCGCCACTTAGCGCTGCCTAGCGCCGCCTAGACCTTCCTAGTGCAGCCGAGACCCTCCTAGCGCCACCCTGACCCGCCCAGGCCGCCTAGGCCAATTTTTTAAACCTATCCCGATGACTACTCTTTGGCACAGGTCTATCCCGGCGAAATTTGCAGGATTATATCTCTCTCGACGAATGTTCGTCGGCAAAGGTGAATTTCGTCGGAAGAGGTCCTATTTAGCAAATTTTGCTGAGATATACCTGTGTCGACGAAAATTCGTCTAGAGAGGTTTTCTCGCTTTTTTTTAAAAGAAAAAAAATTTTAATTTGAATTTTCAACATATAAAATTAGTTTTCTTATTTTTTTTTTTTGCCAACTTCATTAGTTGAATATATGTAATTAAGTAATATCTTAACCTTTCTTAATTACCTTAATTAATAACTAGCCTCTCCGCATGCGTATTTGAGCATGCAAGCGCATGCGAGAGGCTTTTTTTAATTTAAATTTTATTTTAGAATAAAAAGATAACGGGTAGTTGTGTTCCATAAAAATATGATCCATTATCTGATTTTTTTTTAATTTTAATTTTTTTAATATGAAAAGTGTGAATTTACTATATTATCCTCATTTAATTAATAATTTCAATTCTTAATATTTGCATTAACCAAGGGCATTTTCTTGTATTTTGAATGTTTCACCGTTCTGTGCCTTTTGCTTTATATATATAGATTATGTTTTAAGTATTATTTCTTTGGTAAATATTTTAATATTTTAATCATTTCATAAATGACTTAATAAATAGTAATTAATTATTTTAAATTATTTTGTGGACTTTTTTTAAAAAAAACAAAATTTATACAAAATTAGTTTGTGCACGTTATGGGCATTCTGCGTTAGATTGCTAGAATCATCTCAACTTGTCGTATGTAGGTTGGGTGCCTTCTTGCTTGTTGTTTTTTTTTAAAAAAAATTAGTATAGCCGCTCGGCTATACGTGTTTTCACACATGGACGCCTAGCTGCTAGGCGATCAATTATAGCCGCACGACTATACTAGGGTAAATTTTTTCTTTTTAAAATAGTAAAGCCACCGGCTTTACTTGGGTTTTGCATTATGTAAATTTTAAAAAATATCGGCTATACTCTTAACAGCTTTCTTCCTCAATCATTATAGTGTGATCCAGTTTTCTTCCCCATAGTGGCACTGAGAATTGTGTCTCTACTTCAACTTCAGTTTGAGTATTGATAGGTATCTATCATTTATGATTGTCTTGTGGATATGAAGAGTGGTTGAGAGCCGTGTTACACAGAGGTGCATTTTGGTAGAGAAATAATCATTGTTTATAATTCACGAGCATATGCTGGCATGCATCCATACACTTTTCCTTCAATATTTCTGATTTCTTTACATGTATGATAAGGTGGTGTAGTTGTGTTTTTACAGTCTACTTTCGGTAAATGAATGCTCTAATATTTTGTAGTAATTATATAAAATTGTTCTACAGGGGCCACTTAATCTGGAAGTGAAGATCTGGTCCTCAGCGAGTGAAGAAGGCTGGCTACTTCCTAGTGATGCTGAATCATGGAAATGTACCCAGACATTAGAGCTGAAGAGTTCTGCTGAACCCCGAGTTGAGGAGGCATTCTTTAATCAAGTCATAGCTTTGTCACAGGCTGGCCTTCTCTTACTTGCAAATGCTAAGAAGAATGCTATTTATGCTGTGCACTTAGAATTTGGTCCTGATCCAGCAGCAACGCGCATGGATTATATTGCAGAATTTACTGTTACCATGCCTATTTTGAGTTTTACTGGGACAAGTATTTCACCTCACGGTGAACAGATTGTCCAGGTTTATTGTGTCCAGACACTAGCCATTCAGCAGTATGCTCTGGAATTATCCAAATGCTTGCCTCCACCACTGGATAATGTGGGTTTAGAAAAGTCAGATTCCAATATTTCACGTGAACCGTCAGGGGCTGAAGGATTTGGTTTGGATCTATCTGGAAGTAAACCCACAGAGATGCTGCTAGCTAATTCAAATTCAGCACTTAAACAAACCATACAAGATAGTAGTTCTGAGGGTGCAGTTTCCGTGAGGTATCCTGTAAACTCTAGTTCTGTTGAGGCAACCACTTCGAAAGATATTACCACTTCAAGTACAGAATCAAGACCTGTTGCATTGGCATCAGCTACTAGTGATTCAGATGTTGTTTTTGTTGCATCACCGCCTATTCCCTTGAGTCCTAGGTTGTCTGGTAAACATTCTGGTTTAAGAAGTCCAACAGATGGCTCTGACCAGAGTCGCACACTCAATGAGCATGGTGGAGACCAACAAGTCAATGATTACTCAGTTGACAGGAAATTGGACAGTGTTCCTTCAAACTTGTCAGATGTGCCTACAGTGGATGATGATTCAAGAAATATTGAGCAGAAAGTTGGAGAAGATGATTTATCTAGTTTGCTCAATCCTCCTATCATGTTCAAACATCCAACCCATCTTATAACTCCCTCTGAGATTTTAATGGCTGCTTCATCTTCTGAAGGTACTAATCCTATTGATAGCAAGAATGAAGGGGAGGCAAATATCCAAGATGTGATTGTTAACAGTGATATGGGTAATGCTGAGGTGGAGGTTAAAGTAGTGGGTGAAGCAAGATCTACTCAAAATGATGAATTTGGATCTCAAGGTGAACCTCAAAATGTTGTTTCAGAAAATAAGGAAAAATTCTTTTGCTCCCAGGCATCAGATCTTGGAATTGAGATGGCCCGAGAATGCTGTGCAATATCAGCCGAAACATATACTACAGATGAAGCTCGGCAAGTTGATGATTCCAGCATGACAGAACCACTGGCCCAGTCTAATGCTGGAGACGAAGACCAGGAATCTGCGAAAGATGTATCTGGGCCATGTACCACCCCAACAGTTTTTTCAATCGCATACACCAACTACAAAAGTGAAAAAACAGAAGTGGAAAAACTCTCAAGCATCAGGTCAATCTTCCCCATCACCAAATGTGCTCAATTCAATAGATTCCAACAATGAACCAGGAGGGAGTTCAAGCCCCCCCTCTGCAGAAGCTGCATTTCCCCAAATTATGGCCATGCAGGATACGATTAATCAGGTGATTGCTAGTTTCCCTACATGAATGTATGACATATGAACGATTTTATAATTCTTTCCTTTCCTTCGTCTTGATATGGTTTTCCTTGTCCTATTTCACATTTTTGTATACTTTGGAAAAAGTGAAGAAGAAGTATGCATGCTTATTGCTACTTGTGTGGTAGATGTGTACTCTGGACCTGTCTTTATTGGCATCATCCTTTTCTTAACTGTGGCTTTTTTGTCATTTGTACAGCTACTGACTATGCAGAAAGAACTGCAAAAGCAGATGACAATGATGGTTGCAGTCCCAGTTACGAAGGAGGGGAGAAGATTAGAGGCGGCTCTTGGGCGGAGTATGGAGAAGGCTGTAAAGGCCAATAATGATGCTTTATGGGCTCGTTTTCAAGAAGAGAACGCAAAGAATGAGAAGTTATTACGAGACCGTAATCAGCAAATAACTAGCTTGATCAATAACTTCATGAACAAGGACTTCCCAGTCATGTTAGAGAAAATGGTGAAGAAAGAATTGGCGGTCGTTGGACCAGCTGTTGCTCGTGCTATAACTCCAGCTGTTGAGAAAGCAATACCTCCAGCTATTTCTGATTCCTTCCAGGTTAGAATTTTAAATGATCTGATGCATTCTATAATAACGTTGGTGTATAGTTATCTAATTGATGCTTGTGTGGCAGAGAGGAGTTGGTGATAAGGCAGTTAATCAATTGGAAAAATCGGTTAACTCAAAATTTGAAGCAACTGTTCCAGGCAAATACAGGCGCAGTTCCAAACTTCTGGCAAACAAGCTCTTCAGGTATGTATTATGTCATCTTGTTAATTTCCTTCTATTTTTAATCTGAATATCTAATGCGTTACTTTGGTTTGGAAAACTTCTGTACTAATGTTTTGACCTTTGCACATTAGAATGCTCTTAAGTCTAGTATGGAAGCTTCAGTGGTACCTGCATTTGAGAAGTCATGTAAGGCAATGTTTGAGCAAGTAGATGCTACGTTCCAGAAAGGAATGTTAGAACATACAAATGCGGCACAACAACACTTTGATTCTGCACATTCGCCATTGGCACTTGCTTTAAGGGTGTGTATGTCCAATCATTTTCTTTTAGATAATTTTTCTGGAAAACTTCCCTTCTTGTATACTCAAAGAGGTATAATCCTTGGGGGCCTTGAATGAATTCAAATAACAAGGAGCCAAATATGTTATTTTGCCTTTGCCTTGATTACTGTGGTCATAGTTTTGTGTGCACTTATGGATGTTTTATTTACTTATTTTGGCGTATTTGCAGGAAGCTATTAGTTCTGCATCATCGGTGACTCAAACCTTAAGCGGAGAAGTGGCTGATGGTCAACGTAAGCTAATAGCTCTTGCAGCTGCACGAACAAGCTCAAGTGCAGTAAATCCCCTGGTCACACAACTAACCAATGGACCTTTGGGTGGTCTCCATGAGAAGGTTTGTTCCATCTTAAATCCAAATATTATATTTTATCTGATGAAAGTTGGTCGGTTGGCTACTTTAATTATTAGAAGCATTTTGTTTATGCATGGTGGTTGTGCTCTCAGGTGTAGTATACTTTGGATGATATTCCTTTGTGTTTATCTGAGCTTGCGATGGACTATCTGCTTGACAACTTGTTACCACCTTTTCTAGGTTGATCTGCGTGGGGTGTTGTTGCGATGGACTCTCTCTTTTGCAACAGCTGGCCTGTGATATCAGCAATGATACATCGAGAAAAGTTGCGTGGATGACAGATGTGGCGGCTGCCATAAACCCAGTAAACCAAATGATTGCGGTGCATGTGCGGCCCGTCTTCGAGCAAGTTTATCAGATACTGCACCATCAACATAGCTTGCCTACAATCTCAAGTGCCGAGCACACAAGTATTAGACTTTCACTCAGGCGGGAAGATTGCCCGCTCTCTTTCACTCAGGCTCGAATCCCTCTTATTGCTGATTAGAATTTAGATTAATTTATACTCACTCCTATATAAAAATTAAAAAATAGTTTATACTCAGTTCTTATATAAAAATAAGCCAAACAATGCTCTCATCTTCTTGACTAACATTAGAAAGAAAAAATTATAATAAAGACTAAATTAAATTATTTACAAATGACTTCGTTAGTTCAACTTATTTGTAGTTAAATCGTACGATTTTAATTCAAATAATTCAATTAAAAATAGTTCTCCGTTTAACTTTTCAAAAAAATAAAAATAAAATTATGGACTGAAATTGAAAATAAAAAATTCATTTGAGTACAAACTCAGTTCAAAATTTATTGGCGTACGTCGCAGTGATAAGCATTTACAGAATTTTTCTCTACATTACATGTTTTCCCTTTTTACACGTCAGATTCTAAAATTTCTTTTTCCTTGTCAAGAAAGAGAAACAAAAACAAATTAAATGCGGCCTACCAAAACAAGAAAAAAGAAAAAAAGTGGCCCTATGGTCGTTTTCTTTCTACCAGCACTGGTCCGTTTCCCACCTCCGGGTCGGATAAAACCCATCTTGTCGAAACCCGACCGAGCTTCTCCGACGAACACGATGCTGAAGATGAGCACTCAACGACAGGTCGTACATGGCCCTGGCCGCCGGATCGGACAGCGTGGCTTAGGCGTTGTGAATCTCGATGAAATCTCGGCCGTCCGATTCCGACGACGAGGCGTCCGGATGGTAGAGCTTGGCCAAGGGGTATAAATTTGGGAAAGGGGTATAAATAGGAGTCAAAGTGGAAGAAGCAGCAAAAACTGTGTGTGGTTGCGGTTCCAGGGGGCGCTGACATGGCACTCCCTGCTGTTTCTACTTTAATATTTACCATGCTTCTAGAACATCAGCATTTAACAACGCAAATATCTTCTGTAGTAAAAATTAGTTTCACTTTTTTACTATTTTACTGTCCTATGAGGATGGTAAATAAAATGTTGTTGGGCTTGAGCTGGCTGTTTTTACATTTGAAATTATAGAGATGTGATTGTCATACTGAAAAAGGTGGATGGAGATTCTAAAATTGTCATTGATATTGTTGCTTGTAAACCAAAATCAAAGACAGTGAGATGAGAGAGCTTTGTAAACCAATCTGAGTGGTTGCGATCATGGGTTGCCACGTGTGAGAAGAGTATGGCTTGGCTTCTAGAAGCCTTTTGTCTTGCTCGCTAAAATTCTACTTGCTACGTCTCCATATACTACTGGCATTAACTGGGATGTGGGGCAATGTAATTTATGGCAGAAAGATGTTTTGATATGGATAAAGTGTTGGCAATTGGTCACATGCCTTCTAGAAGGCCCTTTTTTCTTCTTCTTTCTTTTCCCTTTTAACTTTTTGCACGAATAAAGAAAGAAGTGAAGAAATTTAAAATAAATAAATCATAGTAGAAGGCTTCCTCACTCTAAATTCTAAATTACTCTAATATACGAAGAGGAGGATCGAACTCGGATGCAAGAGAATGAACACTCTTAAATGTATGATTCGATAACTCTTGTGTCAAAGAAATGAGATTTGCTTTGGTTTCCTTTATATGTAAATTTTGGGGTGATTTGTCTTTATGTTCTCTTAGAAACATTTTGTTTTCTTGTTCTCTCATCTTCAAATGTGACAAAAGGTCTAAGGTATGATGAGGATGATAATAAGAAAACAAAAGAGGGGGAATTAAGTCAATAAGATATGATCTTCCACAAACTCCTACCTTTTCAGCCTTTTGATTTAAAAAAGAGAAAAGAAAAATATCCCAACATATTGTCCAAAATATAACAGGGCTAAGTTTATTGGATTTGGGCTTTTTAGTCCGAACTTGGGAGTGTTAGCATTTAGTAGGGCCTGGGTGGTTTCTTCTCTCCTTCCGTAGAGCATTTCTAGTGCAAGGGGCTAGCTCGGGCAGGAGGGGGAATTAGGCCCCAGGCAAGTTCTGCCCGAACTGGAATCTGGGGCCAAATACCACCACTGATGCTATTAAAGCTCGAGTGTTTTGGCTTAATTCTCTCATACCTATTTAATAAATTATCATAATTGTTCTAAGTTTGTTAGCAATTGATTAAAGGGACATTTTGGAAAAAGCAAAAGGAGAGAGAAAATTTTAAAAGAAGCAAAAATGGACAAAAATGCCCTTATTTATTTTTAGATTTCCTAAAGAATCCAATACATTTGCATGTCTTTGATTTGAAAGTTGAGCGGTTTTTTTATCTTTTTTGAAAAAGCTTTGGCTTTTTCCAAAAGTGAAATTTTTTTTATGTCTAAAACCTAAAAAACCTTTGATTTTAAATAGACTAAGGTTATACTTTTGTCCATCAGATTAATAGAATGGTTGATGTACCTAAACTGTTGTTTGTCTTGTTGGATTTTTTAACTTTATTTTGTGATGATAGTTGGTATTCGCTCAAATTTTTCCATTTATCTACACTAACACCTGCCATTTTCCAAATTTGTACCAACAGAGGTAAAACCCCTGCAAAGGACAAGAAAGAATAGAAGCCACCTCTATAGCAAAGCCATCAAGAGAAAGATCCCCTTCCAATAGATATCAAGGCAGAAAATCCCCTTCCACCACCCAGTAGCATATATATAAAGACCTATCCAAACTCTTTGAACAATGAACATCTTAAAACTGCTGATATTTTGATGTTGTTTTGATGTTTTGATTGCTGCTTGGTTTATTAGAATATGGTCAATATTTTAACATGACAAGCAGCATATAAAACATGTTATTAGTCTACTTTTTGTAACTTAAACTTGCTAAACAAAGCATGCTGTCACTGTTTAGATCTCCATGTCTATATAAATAGTACCATCTTTCATACATATTTTCACGATTTTGTATACATTTCATACGGTTTTAAAACCCGCGCGGGCAACTTTGCTAATTTATATCCTAGTTATTAAGTTATCTATGGGTTAAAGATCTTTTAGGAAAAACTTGGTGTTAAGGTGGCAAGATGTTTGCTTAAACCCAAGAAGTCAGTCATCATGGTTTGGAGGGTATGGTAAGTCCTTTATTTTGTGCTGATCCAGAATGGTAGATCATCAAAGAGCGGTTGCATAATAGTGGAAATTGGAAGGTAACTAAATGAACAGAACTAGTGTTGATGTACGCTCTAGTGCCTTATATCAGGGCGTTTTCTCATAGTTTTTTCCTGCAAATATAACATGAAGTAGATTCGTGTAAAGACCAAAGCTAACTAGTTGTACAATAAGAAAATCAGCGGCTTCCCGTACTTATAGGTTTTGGTGTCTGCGACTCCAAACATCGTTTTGGCAGGCAGCAGCATTGAACCAGAATTCGATGGATGCGGATTTTATTTTGAGGATCACAATAAGTTGAAAAACATGGATCATATACCAATTGTGTAGGATAAAAACACTTTCACGTTCGGGCTGATGTCCTCTCCAATTTCCTTGTCTAGAAGATCAAGCCCCTCTCTCACTCCCTAAACCCCTTGACTCTTTCATTCGGGACAGAACAATGGCAGTGAAGAAAATTGAGAAACAGCCAATCAATCTTCCAATTCCTTCAATTTATGAAAAATTGGCTCAACTAATAATTTTACCTTTCACTTATATCACTTAAAGCACCATATTGAGAGAGACAATATAAAGAGTCAAATGCATGCATGACATCAAACACTAAATAAGTGTTTTTTCCTCAGGACTCAAACTGCAAGGGTTCCTATACAATATAGCTAGGTTTAAGTTCAAGGTGACAATTCTTGCACAGTCATCAGAATGAAAACTAATACCAAAATCGATTGAATGAAAAAACAAGGTAAAAGATGAGAGTATTCTTATAATAATATTACATCTTAAAGTCTCCACAGAAAGCAAATGAAGTTTCACATTTTGTAACATAAGCAAAAAAAAGCGTCTCAAAGCACTTAAATTCCTCACACAAAATCATTATCAAAGCTTTCATACACCATTTGAGACTGGTAAACGTTTACCTGTTCCATTGTTTATCAAAATAACTATATCAAATTTCATAGATACAAAAGAGAAAAACCAAACTCGAAAAGGAACAAATAGTGAGTTAACGAAACTTACAGCCAAAAGGCACCATGCATGGATACTTTAGTTGCCTTTGGATTGTTCGCACCGAGTAGAAAACATTGAACACTACAAGACCCCGTTTTGATGGTTACCAAGTCTCTACTGTTAGAAAGTTCAAATTCGAAACTTATCACAAAAATAGGCATCTTCCTCAGAACTCCGCCCTTGGACTCAAATCCAGTGTCGATGGACAATATAAGACATATCTCATGACCTCCTAAATGGAGGATCCTATGACTTATTTCACGCGCTTTAGCAGTAAATAGACCACGGAACCTAGGCAATAGTTCACCCCCTGGTTGAGTAGGTAACAGATGATCAGGCAGGCACAGAGGTTGAAGCCGTGTGAGTGATGTAAAGTCACTTGACATGAGATACGCGGGCAAAGATGTACGATGCCATTCAAAATGACGATGAGGCTGAGGAGGATCAACACCCCTACCAGAACGGTTGAAGCAGCCGACCTCGTCGCAACAGTGGTAGGCGTCGTCTTCGAATTCATCAGCCTCTTCACACAATTCTGAGTAACACGCGAAAATTAGCCAATTCCCGTCACTCATTTTCACAGCTAAACTTCGTTCATCCAAGTCTAATGGCAATTGAATGCAGTTTGTAAAAGAGTGCTCTTTCCATTTTTGACTGGTGTCAGCCATGTCAAAGCGGAAGATACTAGACAAACATGACACAAAGATATTAGTGCCTACAACAACACAATTGCTGATTCTTCCAACGTAGCGTCGGTGGAAAATTGGGGGTTCGGGCAAAGTCACCCATTCGTCATTTTTGGGGTCTAACATCTCGAACGCAGGAGCGAAGTGTACGCCACACATTAACACTAAACTTCGGGACGAGAGAACATATAATTTGGAGTCATGCTCCACCATGAGGGGGTAATTCTTCCCTTGTTGAAGGGGACGGTGACGTATCACAGGGGGTGAATTCATAATGCAGTCCGTAGTGTCAAACACATAAACATCTCTACACGGATATGGTGTGAAACTCCCACCATCGAATTCCGGTTCAAGGCCGCCTGCCAAAACGATGTTGGAGCCGCAGACACCAAAACCCATACATACGGGAAGACGCTGATTTGTTTTACCCACTATACTGGATTCTGCCAATGGAAGTATATAGCAATTTTTCTCCAAATTAAAGGCGTGAATAAAGTAAGAAACAGAAGTGCCTGGAGAATACTCGCCGAAACATAAATAAAGGACTTTCTTAGGCTTATGCGACGACGGACCAGGGCGATCCTTCACCTCCTCCATAAATAAAGGAATTTCTGGAAAGGTTCACTAGTTTGAAACTGATGAGGACTCTATATCTTTCGATAAATGTCAAACAAAGAAGGGTAAATTTTCAGATAGGTATCTCAAATACGTATGGAGTTATTTATAAACAAGTATGAAGATGTGTTAACCCTAAATACAATAGGAAATAAATCTAAATTACAATAGGAACTCAATTACAATAGGAAATAAATCTCAATTATAATATGACTAAATAAAGGGGTAAGTAATCAAAATCCTAGCATAGTAAGGAACAAAAATCCTAACTAAATAAATCTCAATTATAGTCAGAACTTAGCTAAGGTCAGCATTGTTTATTGATTGGTTTTTTGTGAAGTTGTGTCAAACCATGAATTCTTGGTTTTAATTACATGCCAAAATTGTCTCTTTATTTCTTTTGGCCGGTTAATATATCTCTGTACCCTTTACACTTTGTTTAATCTTCTATCAAAACGCATGATTTGATTTCGGAATGACTTTCTTTACACTACAAGTATATTTGTGTGGCCAAAGATGTTACTTGATTTTTACAGTTTTCCTAGAAGAATAGCATTGCTAGGTTTTTTTTGTGAAGTTGTGTCGGAACATAGACTTCCCGGAACTGAATTTAGCCATATGACATCTCATGAGCCTTCTTAGGCTCAAACTTTGGCTTGGGTGGCAAGGAACCAGATGCTGCATCTGCTGCAGTTTTAAGTGCGCTGACTATGACCCTTCAAACATTGGAAGAGTTGCTCTGCGGAGTGGGCAATGGTGATCAGGGATAGATAGCTAACCAGCATAAAGTCCATATTTGATACAAGTCCTTCCGGTCATCAACCCTTGTATTTGTCTCAACACAGGAAGAAGCACCTTGAAGACCTCTTATAAATAATGTAAGCCCTTTGATGATATAACGTATCAACTGGATATCAAAATGAACCTGTCACTCAAGAGCATAGTCTAAAATGAAACAGAAATATAAATATAAATGCAACTCAAACAAAATGTTTTCATAAAAAGGAAATTCTTACAAGATGTCACGTCTAATCAAGTTACAAAAATACCTAGAACCTTTGCAGAGCCACACGCATCCTCTGAAGACTCAAAACTATAATTGGCTATAACAAATGCATTACTCAAGACAAACTCTCTAAGGTATCACATAATGATCTATTAATCATGTAATTATTAAAGATAAATCTTGAAGCAGAGGATGATAATTAATGAGATAAAAACAACAATCCTAGTTGTGGGGTAAATATATTATCCATCAACCGGTATTCACGATCAATTCATTTCAGGCTTTTCAAATAAAATTATTGATCAGTCTTCTTGACGGCATCAATGGCAATTGCCAAAATTAAGTACGTGTAAAAAGGCCACAAAGTTCTGTTTGCTGAAGGGGGAAAGCACTTTTGTGGATTTGCTTTTTAGTCTTGTCTTTTGCCTCTAGGCATTGCCACTAAACTCGTCTCTAACAAGGATGACATGGGTGGAGGCTTAGTCAAACTTTACAAGAGCATTGAAAATCTTAGTGACACATACTACAACCTGCTACTAACAAGGACGAGGCCTTGCTGAAACCTATGACACTTTCTGCTGGAGCTAATGTCCTTCGGATTTTAACCACCGATGATCCAAAGGCCCGTCGAACAGTTCTGTTGTGCAACCAGTTGCTGGTATGTCTCAGACAACCCTAAGCTATTTGTCCACGCTGCAGAGGAACTATAGTCTCACAAGATGTATATTGCTTCACAAAAAGAAATTGGAAATGTAGCTTAGTTGATGGAAATGTTATATTGGTAATAAAGACACATTTATTCACTCATCTGTAAACTATATTCCCTACATATAGGTAATGACAAATTTGTACCTGCATGATGCAGGAGCATAGGGGTGGATCAAGATAGATATTTACCATTTAATTAGTTATTTCATGATATATTGTTATTTTCTTAATTAGGTAGTTTTAGGATATCGTTTATTATTTATGTGTGATTTTATAATTAATTAGTTTACTTTTGGACCAAGCAGTCTTGATACCCACGTCTTGTAAAGCCTATAAATAAGGCTACTGTAATAATTGTAGGGAATGGAATATTGATGATTAATGAAATAGTTTATTTGTTGCATGGATTTTCTACGATATATGTGAGTTTGCACTAACCCTAGATTTCGGTGCTCGTGTATGTGGTTGGTGACCTGTGTCCCGATCCCCGATCCCCATCAATTGGTATCAGAGCTATGGCTTAAGATCTGCTTTATCGGGGAGGTTTTTGGATGGAGGGTCGTGTTGACAACTACAACGACATGGAGGAAATTAGGAGGATGCTACGGCAACTTACAGAACGCGTCGCTCGCATCGAAGCTCGAACCCAAATAGGTAAGAGTTCTGACGGGGAGAGATGCATGAACCCTTATCTGAACCGAGTAGCTCGCATCGACACTCTAAGCCGTGGGAGTCTCGACGGGGAGTACGAGGGGGATAGCCCTTTTCATTATTGCGCTTCGCTGTGTGAGTCAAGTGAAGAGGGGCACGGTTATTCTCATTGTGTCTTTGAAGGTATAAATAGATTTGGTAATTTTGGTGCATCTTGTTATTCATCAAAGTTATTAAATTTGGATTTGCCTCCAATATTTGATCCTTGCAACTGTGAAAATTGCAATGAAAATTGTTTGGGTGTTCAAAGCAATTTTGATAAGCAATTTATTGATCAGAACAGTGAAGAGATGAGAATTAAGAAAACTTTCGAAGATATTATTGATTTTTTGGGCATTAATGTTTTCACTTGGAAGGTTGCCAAAACTTTGGCTGATTTTGTCAATCGGTTGAAGATTCTAGAGAGAAACATTTGCATTGTTAGAGGGAGTAAGAAGAAGCCAAGAATAACGAAATATTCCAAATATCTTTTTATTTGGAAAGGAAGGTTTCAATTGGATGCTAAAAGATCCAGAATTAATATGAAGCAATAGAAGATTCTACTCGGATTTTCCTCAATCAAAGGCTTGAATTCGAGGACGAATTCTTTCCAACCAGGGGAGTCTGATACAGGAGCATAGGGGTGGATCAAGATAGATATTTACCATTTAATTAGTTATTTCATGATATATTGTTATTTTCTTATTTAGATAGTTTTAGGATATCGTTTATTATTTATGTGTGATTTTATAATTAATTAGTTTACCTTTGGACCAAGCAGTCTTGATACCCATGTCTTGTAAAGCCTATAAATAAGGCTACTGTAATAATTGTACGGAATGGAATATTGATGATTAATGAAATAGTTTATTTGTGGCATGGATTTGCTACGATATATGTGAGTTTGCACTAGCCCTAGATTTCAGTGCTCGTGTATGTGGTTGGTGACCTGTGTCCCGATCCCCAATCCCCATCACTGCAGAGTTGGCTTTGTGGTTGACTGATGCAGGGTCCGAGGTGACCCTCCCACTTCATGATCCATTCACCATTCCATTTTTTAATTTTTTTTGAATTTAGGACTTCTTTCTAAGCCTATAAATGGGTCTTTTTATAAACGCTTATGCATATGCTGCCCTTCTCCTTTGTCCTCAATATTGTCTGAATCGCTACCACCCACAGCACTACGTACTGTGAGTTTGAAGCTCCTGATTGACACAGAAAGCAACAAAGTTCTGTTTGCTGAAGCAAGCAAGGAAGTTGTGGATTTTCTCGATACTCTTCTGTCCTTGAATTTTGGAACTGTGACTAGGCTCCTTATCTCTAATGGTGGCATGGTTGGTTGCTTAGGCAAACTTTACGAGAGCCTCGAAAATCTCAGTGACACATACATGCAACCCAATCTTAACAAAGACTCCCTTCTGAAAAAGACAACAACTTCTGGCGCTAACATCCTTCAATTGCCAGCCAACAATGACTCGAATGCGCCTAAACGGTTCTACCTCTGTGTAAATTGCAAGCGCCATATTTCTGATAGTACATATTTTGTTTGTGCTTTTGATTCTTACGGCTTTAAGTTGGTGAAGGCATCGTTGGAGTCAAAAACCGCTCTTACAAATGTTTTCCTTGGTAATAAAGTGCATGAAGGTTTCAGCTTTGGTCCTCTAAAGAAATTGAGCTTTTGGAGGTTCATTTTAGTTTGTGGATTGACATTGACAGTATTGGCGTACATTGGATTATTTCAACTTTGGCCCTCTGATCTTATTGGTAAAAGATATGGTAAAAACGACCCAACAAGTCCAAGGAAACCAATCTGCTATCCCAATCTTCCTTTTGCACTTTCCTTGATACAAAAATGAACAAGGAGAATCGATCGTGTGGCTGAAGTAAACTTGCTCATCTACACTGCTCCGCAAGGATAAATGTGGACTTTATGAAGCACTGATTCTTTAAGGCATTTGAACTGTTTTGTTTTTCGTTTTTCTGTTGATTTTATGTTTTGGGCCTCCATTTCTTCGTTTCTTTTCGGCATCATCAAATCTAAAACCAGTGTGACAAAATTACATGTTCTAGTGATCTATTATCTTCTCTCTCTTCACCTATCAAATTTCTCTCCTCTTACTTGATCTATGAAGTTCATCATCCATTCCAAAGAATAAACTCATCCATGTAATTATGGATCAGTTTTTTTGACGTCATCAATGGCAATCACCAAAAATAAGGTGAAACTCCTAGTCCATGTAAAAAAGCCACAAAATTCTGTTTGCTGAAGGGAGCATAGACCTGTTAGTTGACTTTTTCACTGTCTTTGGCCTCTAAACTAGTGATGTCTGAAGATACAATACAACTAATATGAAAAAGCAAATACAAAACAAAACGAATTGTAAATCTGGCTGTTGGTTTAGTTAATGAATGCCAACTAGTGGAAATAAATACATATTTATTCACTCATATGTAGATTATATTACCTGTGCATAGGTAATGACAGATTTGTATATGTAGAGTTGCTTTGTGGTTGACTGACTATGCAGTGTCCAAGGTCACCCTCCACCTTCTTGATCCATTCACCATTGGCATTCGCCCTCTTCCGTTTTAAAATAATTTTATTCCAATGAATAGTACAGCCGGGTGGCTATACTGTTCAAATATAATATATAAAAATACTATGGCCGCGCCTTTATACTCCGTGTTTTTTGTCTTCAAATCAAATTAATAGTATAGCCGAACGGCTATATGTTTCAAATATAAAAATTAGGTCAGATATCTTCTTCTTCCCAGCGCCGCCTTCTCCTTCCTCTCTCTCTCTCTCTCTCTCTCTCTCTCTCTGTCTTTCTTCCTAACAACAGCGGATCCTGCGCACTTCAACCGCCCTTCGTCCACGTCTCAACGGCAAAACGGCCACCCAGACCCTCCTAGAGCCGCCCAGGCCGCCTAGAGCCGCCTAGGGCCGCCTAGACCGCCTAGACCTTCCTAGAGCCGCCTAGAGCCACCAAGGGACGCCTAGGCCCGCCTAGAGCCTCCTAGGGAAGCCTAGGCCCGCCTATGGAAGCCTAGGCCCCCCTAGAGCCGCTTAGGGACGCCTACGCCCGCCTAGAGCAGCCTAGAGCAGCCTAGAGCCGCCTAGAGCCGCCTAGGCGGGCGCCCAGACTCCGCCTAGCTCCCTGGCGCCTACCCCTGGATGCCACCTCCTGGAAGGGTACCTGTTGGTGAACTAGAACTGACTTCAGTTAGTTCGAAATTGGGATTTTGTTTGGCGTGGAATTAGGATTACACTGTTTTCACAGTCATATGGCAGGTCACTAGTGAATCAACCTTCCTAGTCTGATGATCTTGTACTGAAATACTAACTAATAGGGTGCATGCAACCTTAGGCCATTTCACTTGATTTTGCTCCATCTCCTGCATTTAAACATGTTTTTGCTTATGCACTTTTTATCTTTGAAGTTGCTGAATCACTTGCTATATGGAACCAGACCTTATTTGCTATTATTTTGGGCCAGCTGCAGTAGGTGCCCCTTGAAAAGTCTATTAATGTCTCCATTTATATTAAAAATCCCCAATTAGAAGTGAATTTTGATTGGATGGTAGTGTCTGATACTGCTAGCAAATCATCAAAACCGAAACCAAGTAATATAAAAAGAGTTTAGGTAAATGGAAAAAGTTCCATTTGAAAATGCTTCAAAATATTTTCCTCGATGTCATCTTTCCTGTGTTCTTAAGAATTTAGTTTGCTGTGTATATTAAAAAAAAGAAGATAGAGTTTTCAAATAAGGATTTAGTTTGCTGTGTTCTTCAAAAATAAGGATTTAGTTTGCTGTGTTCTTCAAAAATAAGGATTTAGTTTGCTGTGTTCTTCAAATCCTGACATAATGTGTTTTGTGTACAGGTGGAGGAGGATGATGCTGGTCTCTAACTGCTTTGTTTGTTGCTAATCAACTGGTTGTACAGTGCTGTAACACCCTGGTAACTCATAATCAGATTTTTTTTGTATATTCACTAATACAAGGACTAATTTCCTGAATGCCTTTTCAGGCCAAGCAATTTATATTAAACGTTCCATTCTTAATGCTCTCTCTCTCTCTCTCTCTCTCTCTCTCTCTCTCTCTCTCTCTCTCTCTCTCTCTCTCTCACGATGTAGATTTCAACAGCATTCCCAACTTAAAAAGAATGATAAGTGAAAATGGTTGTAAGTTGTAACAATTTGATTCCATTGAGCACTCTCATCTAAATCAGGGAGAATATTTGATTAATCAGTTTTGTCTGGTTTAGGATGCGTGAATGGATTTGATCAATACAACTTATAATTAAAGTGCTGCACCATCCTCCACACCAGGCATGCCAGGAGTGCGCGGCAACCATCCAATATTGTCAGATGAACCTTGCAATGTTTTCTGTACTCGAGATGCCAGGTTGACAAATGCAAAAATGAAGCTCAACTATAAGCACCTAAAAGAATGAAACAACGACTTGTAATTAAAAGCAATGAATTATTTGCACTGAGTAAAACAGAATCCAATCTGAACTAAAACTAAAAGAAACTATTCATAGACTCTATGGAATACGAGTCCATCAGTTTGCATAATATAAATATACTTCTTTTACCTACAAATTCGAAGATGAGCACATCTAACGTACACGACAGAACTTCTCCAACACGAAATTGCCAATCTCCAAGCAAATTGTAAACCGTGTAATGGTAGTGTCAACCTACATCAAGATGAAGCAACATCACCAATCTAACGATGGAGATGACTTGATTGAGATTTGAGAAATGCAAAACAGTTACAGTAAGTCATACTTCTGTTAAACACTTGTAATTAGAAAGGGAAGGAGGTGAAAAAGATTAAATATTACAATTAATCATTCAGTTCACTTAAAAGTAGATGGGCTCACGATGTTTTCTCATGAAACTAGATTAGTTGCCTGACCTCAGTTTTTTAATGCGTACTCAAGTCTTCAAAGATTGATATTGAAGAACGCTAGTAGCAAAAAACGGTACTACCCTTTAAAAATGAAGGACACATCTGTATAATTGAAATTGGTTTCTACAATTTCAGATCTTGTATCTTCCGTAGGCTCTGAGGATCTTCTTTCACAGGTTTCAGGGTTACAAGGTTTTGAAGATGATGAACAACCTTCAGCAAATGATTTACAAATGCCGTTTCTCAATGATCTTAAATGCTGTCCAGCAGAAATGACCAGCAAATCATCTGAGTATCTATCAGCATCTCTGACCGCAAGATCCTCTGCAATAACATCATTTCCAAATCCATCCATAACATTATAAGAAGATGCATGAGTGTGCATACATGTAAGAATAGTAGAAAGAACCTCACCTATAAATTGAATAAATCGACGCCTTATATAACTAGCCAGTGTCAATAGACGGGTGAAAATGTCATCCAGTGATGAGTAGAATCCCAGACTATACAAGGACCTATATTAGATCTTTAAGCACAAGGTCTGAATCAAACTGACAAAACTAATGATGCCAAATTGAAACTTCAAACCCCCATAGCCTTATTCCTTATGTGGGATAACATAAAAAAGAAATAAAAAAATCGATAAACTGACAAAACTAAAGATGCCAAAGTAACTCATCATAAAAAAAAATGTAATAAAGATATCAGATAGCAACTTACAGTCAAAGAAGGACAATCTGCAGAACCCAGAAACAGCCTGTGGCTCAGCAGAACCAAAGCCAATTTAATTTATAGAGGGAAGAAGAGAAGGAAGAAAAATCTGCAGACCCCATTTCAAAGGAAGTTTAAACTTGCTAAACATGAGCTGCCATAATTTTGAATCCCATCAATAAACATAGAAGAAAATGAAGTGAAAGAATAGAATAAAAGAAAGTGGCTGCAGAAATGTGTTTGCAATGACACAATATTGCTGGGGTCAAAAGGTGGTGCATCTGATACAGTTCTTGCTCGAAATATCAGCTTCAACGAAGAAAATGGCACACGTACTTGGAAAAAATACAACAGACCCACCCTAGCACCCAGACCCGCCTAGCGCAGCCCAGACCCGCCTAGCACAACCTAGTGCCGCCTAGACCCGCCTAGCACAGCCCAGACCCTCCTAGCATCGCCCTGACCTGCCCAAGCCGCCTAGTCCAATTTTTTAAACCTCTCCCGACAACTCTTCGTCAGCACAGGTCTATCCCGACGAAATTTGAAGGATTAGATCTCTCCTGACAAAATTTCGTCCGTAGAGGTGAATTTCGTCGAGAGAGGTCTTCTTCAGCAAATTTCACAAGGATATACATGTGCCGACGAACATTCGTCTAGAGAGGTTTTCTTGGTTTTTTTAAAAAGAAAAAAAAATTAAAATTTTGAATTTTTAACATATAAAATTATTATTTTTACTCTTTTTTTTTTACCAACTTCATTAGTTTAATATATGTAATTAAGTAATATCTTAACCTTTCTTAATTACCTTAATTAATAATTATGTTTTAAGTATTATTTCTTTGGTAAATATTTAAATATTTTACTCATTTCATAAATTATTTTATAAATAGCAATTAATTATTTTAAAATATTTTGTTGACTTTTTTTATATTAAAAAATTTATACGAAATTAGTTTGTGCACGTTATGGGCATTCTTCGTTGGATTGCTACAATCGTCTCAACTTGTCGTATGTAGGTCAGGTGCCTACTTAATGCCTTCTTGCCACGACTGCTCAACAATCCTCGTCTCCTTGTCCTCCTAATTGGGTTGTGGATACTGGGGCCAACTCTCATATCACCAATGATTTGGGTAACTTGTCTCTTTCCCTAGAATATCATGGCCATGATTCTATTCATGGTGTTCTTGGTGGAACAAGTTTGCCTATCACCCTTATTGGCTCCTCTAGTCTTCCTCTTAAAAACTCTATTTTTTCTCTTATTGATATCCTTCAATGCCCTACTGCTTCTTGTAATTTGTTGTCTGTTAATATATTTTCAAGGGATAATAACTGTTTCTTCACATTTTATCCCCATCATTTTTTGGTATAGAATTCTCAAACGGGGAAGACTCTTTTCTGGGCCACGAGTAATCTTAGTCTCTACTCTCTCCCATCTAGCATACCATCTCATGATCCTATTGCATATCTTGGTGTTCGTGTTGTTGGTCATGTTTGGCATTCGTGCCTTGGTCATCATTCGTCTCCTATTTTAAAATTTTTATTGTCTACAAATAAGTTGTCTATTGATGGCACTAAGACTTTTAATAATTTTACTTGTCATTCTTGTCCTTTAGGGAAAAGTGTTAAGCTACCGTTTCATACTTTTTTGTCTGTTACGCATGCTCCTCTTGACCTCATTCACTATGATGTATGGAGTTCGTCTAATAAATCAATTTCTGTATTTCAATATTATATTCTTTTCGTTGATAATTTTTCTCGCTACTTGTGGATATTTCCTATGCACTTGAAATTTGAGGTTTTCTCTTTGTTAGTTAAATTTAAGACGCTTGTTGATAATTTATTTTCTACTAAAATTAAAGCCCTTCAAACTGATGGAGGTGGTGAATATACTAGCCGTATTTTTCATAAATTTGTAGTTACTCATGGTATTGACCATCACATTTCTTGTCCCCATCACCCTGAACAAAATCGTTTGGCGGGACGGAAACATCGTCATATTGTTGACACTGGGCTTACCTTGTTGGCCCATGCTTCCATGCCTTTTGCCTATTGGGCTGAGGTCATGCATACTGTTGTATTTAATTAATCGTCTTCCTTATAAAGTTTTGGGTCTTCAGTCTCCATACCAAATTCTTTTCCATAAAGAACCTAACTTTACTTTTCTTAAAAGATTTGGGTGTGCATGTTTTCCATATCTTCGGTCTTACAATACTAATAAACTTCACTTACGATCTGTTAAGTGTGTCTTTCTAGGCTACTCATTAGATCATCGAGGTTATCGTTGTTTAAACTTGACCACTAACAGAGTCTTTTTATCACGCCATGTTATTTTTTATGAACATTGCTTCCCCATTCAAGAGACCAAGGGCTCTCATGCCCCAATTTCTTCTTCCTCTGCTGCGGATTCTGCACCAATCATTGACTACAGACGTGGCACCCGTGAGACCCACCCCATAAGCGGACTGACCATTCCCCGTAGATCATCTTAAGGGTATTTTGGAGATAGATAGTCTCCGCATTCATATTTTTCTTGCAGGACTATATCGACTCTAAATCCAATTGTCACTTTGAATTGTGACAATTTGAGGATTGGAGTTGGAACATTCTTTTGTGAGCGAGATAGTTTAACATCACAATGGAACTATATGAGATTTGACTTGGGTTTGTGTTTAGGATTTGGTAAGGGGATTTGATTTGAGGATTTAGGTTTGTGTTTGAATTTGATGATATGATTTGAGGGTTTATAGTCAACATAGAATCGGCTGCTCTGATACCATGCTAAGAATTATATGGTTTGAATATTTGGATGATTGTCTTCTTCTCTATAAGGAGTAATATATACTGTTTTACATGTGTGCTTTACAAGGAAATATATAAATAGGAGTAATATTTGGATGATTGTCTAAGATATGATTGGCTATAAGGAGTAATATTTGAATGATTGGCTAAGATATGATTTAATTAATAAAAAGAAAGTTTTTTTTTTAAAAAAAATGTATTGACCTAAAGATACTAAGTTCATATGATTGGTTGTACTCCTTTTTCTATTTCTTTTTTCCAAAAAAATTTCCATGATCTTCCCTTATCAATAAGATTAGTTTAGAGCATAATAATTACTATTAGGTCATTATCCGAGTCTCTATTGTCCCCTTTTGATTTGTTACTTATTACCCATATAAAGAATATAGCATTTTCTCATTTAATACTTGTATTATGCACATAAGCATGTATTTTTTAATAATACTTCCGTTTTCCGTACACGTCTACAAGACTCTGTAAAATAAATATTTCTAAAAAAAGCATACATACATACATACATACAATACACGTATTGTACGCATATGTATGTATTTTTCATGTTTAATACACTTATTTTTTTAACAAAATTTTCACATATTATTGAATATAAAATATATATATTAAAATATTACATAGTGGCCAAACTTTTCAATTGTAACTTTCCAAAAAATTCCGAATAAATCAAATACGTATTTTTCCCATTCCGTATTTTACTAATTATGACAGAATGTGAGAGACTAAGATTATTTCTTACTTGTTGTAACAAAAATGCAAGATGGTGATCTTAAAATCTCTTTGCCAGCCAGAGCAACAATTTCAAACCAAGATGTATGGATATAGTAGTAAGAGGTGGTAGTATTCTTTTTTTTATAAATAAAACAAGAGATTATGTGAGATTAGCTCCTCGGAATCAGTCATTAGATGCACAAACATCCACAACCCTCAATGAAGAGACCAACACATTCCGGGAGCCCCCTGCCCATCCCCTTGATCATAATTTTATTAATAGAAAAAGAAATATATATATATATATAAAGAAAACAAGAACAACAGGGGAACCAAACCAAAACCCTGCATAAAAGAAAGACAATGACATAAAGGTACAACAACATGTAGACTCAAGAAACCAAAACTCTGAAAGAGTAAACAAAAAGATTCTATGTAAAACGGTAACTGGGCATGCCCAGCTAGCCCCGATGACAAAAAGACAAAATAAATGAAGGTACAATGTCCCACCATGTGAAACCAAATCCCAGAGCACATGATTTGCCAAAGCGTTAGCTTCATGATTACCCTTGCGAAATATATGAGAAATCTTAAACAACATGTGCTAGAGAAAATGCAAGTAATGCTGACAATCAACTCGCAGGTGCCAAGGGACCAAATGAGGAGAGCAAAAGAATTGAGTAACTTATAACGACTCTGTTTCAATCCAAACATTATGCCAAGCCTTAAGCTAAGCAAGCTTAATGGCCTTGATGACATCTAAAACTTCAGCATGTACTGCACTAGGGACATCTAAATTGGAGAATGCCCCAAGTACACAACCATGATAATCTCAAAACACACCACCACTACTTGCTTTACTAAAGTCACTTTTGAGAGTGCCATCAGTATTAATTTGACAGAACCAAAGCAAGGGGGATGCCACGTAACCTCAATAATTTTGGGATTGGGGCTGGGTCTACAGCACACCCCAAAGGAACGAATAGTACACAAGTCGCGCACCTTATTCGACATATGACCCTTTGCCAGAGTACTAGAGGCACGCACATGATTAATAATGGTAAACTTAGGCCGTATGATTCATAAGCATCCTTAGCAGAGAGGTTTCCAGAGGAAGATGGCACCCAAACTAACAAATCACCTGCAGCAGGATCTTGAAAAGAAGAAATAGCCATAATATTGTCACAAATACTTGGAAAATGCATATTTAGGAGGGGTGGTAAGTGCCAGACCCCATTGACACAATACTTGAAAAACCAATTCACCCATTTCCGGCCTCAGAGAAGGGTGAAGACCAATAATTAGCCAAACATGCTTGAGGCCAAGCCAAATAGAGGATGGGACATAAGCTGAGTGTCCCAACCTTTTTTAAGCAAAAGGTGGTAGTATTCTTCATGTAAAGTATTGTTTGAAAAGTGAAGCAATTACCAAGACCACTCCAACTCAGCATGCAATTCTCTACGATAAATAATGTGAGTAGTAACAGAATTTAGTAGCACTCGAGAGAACGAGGTTGATCAAAGACATTCACACACACACACACACACACACACACACACACACACACACACAATATGAGGTCTCTCAATTTTGAGCCAACTGATTTGGATAGTGATTTATAGTTTTTCTTTGCCTATGCATTAGGAGCATATAAGGCCATCTCCAACCATGGGGGCCAAACCTAAATAATCCCAAATTTTAGCCCAAAATCATTCTCAACCCATGTATAGGGAGGGGTGGTATTTGGCCCCAGATTCCAATCCGGGCGGAACTTGCTTGGGGCCTAATTCCCCCTCCTGCCCGAGCTAGCCCCTTGCACTGGAAATGCTCTAAGGAAGTTGAGAAGAAACCTCCCAAACCCTGCTAAATGCTAACACTCGCAACTTCAGACTCAAAAGCCCAAATCCAATAAACTTAGCCCTGTTATATTTTGGACAATATGTTGGGATATTTTTCTTTTCTCTTCTTTAAATCAAAAGGCTCAAAAGGTAGGAGTTTGTGGAACATCATATCTTATTGACTTAATTCCCCTCTTTTGTTTTCTTATTATCATCCTCATCATACCTTAGACCCTTTGTCACATTTGAAGATGAGAGAACAAGAAAACAAAATGTTTCTAGGAGAACATGAAGACAAATCACCCCAAAATTTACATATAAAGGAAACCAAAGCAAATCCCATTTCTTCGACACAAGAGTTATCGAATCATACATTTAAGAGTGTCCATTCTCTTGCATATGAGTTCGATCCTCTTCTTCGTATATTAGAGTAGTTTAGAATTTAAGAGTGAGGAAGCCTTCTACTATGATTTATTTATTTTAAATTTCTTCACTTCTTTCTTTATTTGTGCAAAAAGTTAAAAGGGAAAAGAAAGAAGAAAAAAAAGGGCCTTCTAGAAGGCATGTGACCAAGTGCCAACCCTTTATCCATATCAAAACACATCCCTGTTAATGCCAGTAGTATATGGAGACGTAGCGAGTAGAATTTTAGCGAGCAAGACAAAGGGCTTCTAGAAGCCAAGCCCTTCTCTTCTCACACGTGGCAACCCATGATCGCAACCTCTCAGATTGGTTTACAAAGCTCTCTCATCTCACTGTCAATTCAACAGGCCCATGCTCTTGTTTTCTTATTACAGCCAAACAAAAGGAAAGAAAAAAGGAAGGAAATATAAAAAAGAAATAATAAAAGTGGAGAGGCACATGCTTATCTGGTGGTTGGTCATTTTCTTGAAGCCTCACTTCATCTATGGGTTCTTCTTTCTTGCATTTGAGAATTTACAGTGGGGGGGCTCTCTCTCTCTCTTCTTGGCCTTCTAGAAACTCTGTCACGTGCGAAGGCCTTCCATTCCCATGGACTTCAAAACAAAGGGGTGCCCTACAACAACACTAAATTGGGAAAGGTTTTAAGCAAGGCTCATAATTGTTAAGAGTTGAAAGAGATGGGCTCGGCTTATTCAAATCGATATTGTTCTCAACTTATTCAAATTACCTCGATGTTATTTATATTCAAATTTACTTATGTTGCATTTTATTTTGTCAAGTATCCGATATAATACTTTACATTATTTACCCATCTTCATCTTACAAAATAGTAATATTGCTTTTACAAGCAACAACATCAATGACAATTTTAGAATCTCCGTCCACCTTTCTCATAAGATTTTTTTTTCTAAACTTAGATATCATATATTTCAATAAATAATAAATAAAAAACTTACGTGTCATACTAGATTTCGATCTCGGTTCTTTGATTAAGTTCATTATTGTGATTATACACTAAATACGTACAAATGTACTTATGAATGTACCTAAAATAATGTATCTAAGTTAATAATGCATCTAACAAATTACCGAAATCAAAATCTCATTTAACACCAGATAAGAATAAAAAAAAAAAAAAAAAAAAAAAAAAAAAAAAAAAAAAAAAAAAAAATAATTAAGTCAAATGTCTGACATAATTTCAAATGTAAAAGCAAAGCCAGCTCAAGCCCAACAACATTTTATTTACCATCCTCATAGGACAGTAAAATAGTAAAAAAGTTAAGCTAATTTTTACTACAGAAGAAATTTGCGTTGTTAAATGCTGATGTTCTAGAAGCATGGTAAATATTAAAGTAGAAACAGCAGGGAGTGCCATGTCAGCGCCCCCTGGAACCGCAACCACACACAGTTTTTGCTGCTTCTTCCATTTTGACTCCTATTTATACCCCTTTTCCAAATTTCAATTCAATTCACACAATACAACACCCTATTTCTTCTTCCCCAAATTCTACTTCTCCACTTCCATTCCCAAATTGCCCTCCATAAACTCCCCAAATTCCAATGTTTGCAACCCTCTCCCTCTCTCCCTCAAACCCTCTCTCCTTCACCTCTCTTCCCAAAATGCCCCTGCCTCGGCAGCGCCACCAGCTCAGGGTCTCCGCGGCTGGGGCTTTCACCGAGACCAGGCCGCGGTCCAAAGCCTCAACGAGTCTCTACGAGGTCCTCCGAGTCAAGGACAACGCTTCTCTGACGGAGATCAAGTCGGCGTACCGGAGCTTGGCCAAGCTCTATCATCCCGACGCCTCGCCGTCGGAATCGGACGGCCGAGATTTCATCGAGATTCACAACGCCTACGCCACGCTGTCCGATCCGGCGGCCAGGGCCATGTACGACCTGTCGTTGAGTGCTCATCTTCAGCATCGTGTTCGTCGGAGAAGCTCGGTCGGGTTTCGACAAGATGGGTTTTATCCGACCCGGAGGTGGGAAACGGACCAGTGCTGGTAGAAAGAAAACGACCATAGGGCCACTTTTTTTCTTTTTTCTTGTTTTGGTAGGCCGCATTTAATTTGTTTTTGTTTCTCTTTCTTGACAAGGAAAAAGAAATTTTAGAATCTGACGTGTAAAAAGGGAAAACATGTAATGTAGAGAAAAATTCTGTAAATGCTTATCACTGCGACGTACGCCAATAAATTTTGAACTGAGTTTGTACTCAAATGAATTTTTTATTTTCAATTTCAGTCCATAATTTTATTTTTATTTTTTTGAAAAGTTAAACGGAGAACTATTTTTAATTGAATTATTTGAATTAAAATCGTACAATTTAACTACAAATAAGTTGAACTAACGAAGTCATTTGTAAATAATTTAATTTAGTCTTTATTATAATTTTTTCTTTCTAATGTTGGTCAAGAAGATGAGAGCATTGTTTGGCTATAAGAAATATTGTTATTTTTATATAAGAACTGAGTTTAAACTTTTTTTTTTATTTTTTTTTTATATATAGGAGTGAGTGAGTATAAATTAATTTAAATTCTAATCAGCGATAAGAGGGATTCGAACTTGAGTGAAAAAGAACGAATAAGCGATAAGAAGGATTCGAGCTTGAGTGAAAGAGAACTAGCAATCTTCCCGCCTGAGTGAAAGAGAGCAAGCTCATTGCCCTGCCCGGCCAATTGGCTATAAGAAAGATTGTAAAATCCAACAACTGTGATATTTATTGCATTTGCGGTTGCGGGCTACTACAAACAATCCATGTAGGATGAGGAACTTGGCCACACTACTCTACTACTTAAACCTCTACAGACGAGACGACAAAACTTTCATTGACTAGTTACCATGGTAAAACAGTTTTTGACCACGGTAATCTGTAATTATGGGTCTTTCACCCAACCAAATTCACAGTTCCACTCCTACCCTTCCGGAAAGAAAAAATTTACCATCCAACCACCTCTGAATTTGGTCGGATATAAGGAGGACCATTAGAATATAAGAAAATGAGGCAAAATTGTAACAAAAGGTGCCTCGATTAAGACCCGATTTTACTTTTCGTCTCTTATATCGCAAAATTGTTATGGCCGTCTTTTAATTAGATCTGGTGTTGCACCACTAGTCCTTTCCGTCAATTTGGTTTGTTCTTTCGTTAAAATTGATCACATATCATGCACATGATAGATATTTTGAAGGTAAATAAGACTTTTACCTAGCCACCACCTCCTTCTAACCAAAGTCAGCCGCACGTCACCCTCTTCCCCACAAATCTGCCCATCCCTTTAACTCACCAACCCAGCAACCCAAAACCATCCCCAAATCAACTTGCTGCTAACATTGGTGTCACTATTTCTATCTATAAAGTGATTGAAGCTGAGAGGCAAAGGAGAGAGGCCCTCTCCCGAGTCCTAATAATCCTGCAGCCCCATTAAACAGACCTCTATTCTAATGGCCACATCCAAACATCTCCACTCTCTTAAACTCTGCCTTCCCAGTAGGTGATGTGAGATTCACAGTAAGGGTTTCAAGGGAAAAAATCACCAGTTGTGTTGGCACTGTCCCCGTACCAGTAGAAATAGGGTCGTGTTTGGTTCTCAGCCTTGCAATGTTGAGGAGGATCCTGGCAGCTTATGTCTAGAAAACAAGCAAAGCAAGGTGCACATTGAACCCATTTAAGATCACTACCAGTATAAAGTATCAAAGAGAAGTGGGTAGCTGACATTTCTCGGACAGTTTGATCAGCCCTCCTTCCCCAATCACCCAATCCTCCTTCGCCACACTCAAATGAGGACTGGTTTTTTTTTTCAATGAGTAGATTTATCTAATTAATATTTTATATGAATTTTCCAATTTGTCCTCAATTTTGACAGAAAGACCAATGATGCAACACGAAATCACAGTGAAGGACGGCCATAACAATTTTGCAACATAAGGGACAAAAAGCAAAGTAGGATCTTATTTGAGGGACCATTGATACAATTTTGCCTAAAAAAAAAAGAAAACACAAAGATGCGCATTCACAGGTGTGAAGAAAATACAAAATTTCACGTTTACAGAGAGCTATGACAAGTAAAGGAAAGAAAAAGAATAAGGAAAAAACAAGAAATAAGTACAGTAGTCAAAAGCAAGAACCCAAAGTACCTAAGCCTACGTATCCAATTCCAGGAAAAAACTGACTCTACAAAGTTTGGTAATGCTTTCATACGAAGACATCTCACAGCGGATTTGTACAAAATGTCCATATAAATAATGTTTCTTGCACAATGATAGGATTTTTGATAGAAGTGTGATCATCATTTACAGGCCATCAGCATGGAGTTGATGACATGCATCAGAAGTCTAATACTTGTGTGCTCGGCACTTGAGATTGTAGGCAAGCTATGTTGATGGTGCAGTATCTGATAAACTTGCTCGAAGACAGGCCGCACATGCACTGCAATCATTTGGTTTACTGGGTTTATGGCAGCCGCCACATCTGTCATCCACGCAACTTTTCTCGATGTATCATTGCTGATATCACAGGCCAGCTGTTGCAAAAGAGAGAGAAGCACCCCTTGGCTAAGAGGAAGAGGATTCAGCAACAATACCCCACGCAGATCAACCTAGAAAAGGTCGTAACAAGTTGTCAAGCGGATAGTCCATCGCAAGCTCAGATAAACACAAAGGAATATCATCCAAAGTATACTATACCTGAGAGCACAACCACGATACGATGGTCACATCACTTCTTTGTAGAGCTCCAGTGAAAGCCTCCTCATACTTCCGTTCAGAAACCAACCTAGACAGCTCCTTCGTTGGATCCAAAGGCACCTCAACCTACCATGCATAAACAAAATGCTTCTAATAATTAAAGTAGCCAACCGACCAACTTTCATCAGATAAAATATAATATTTGGATTTAAGATGGAACAAACCTTCTCATGGAGACCACCCAAAGGTCCATTGGTTAGTTGTGTGACCAGGGGATTTACTGCACTTGAGCTTGTTCGTGCAGCTGCAAGAGCTATTAGCTTACGTTGACCATCAGCCACTTCTCCGCTTAAGGTTTGAGTCACCGATGATGCAGAACTAATGGCTTCCTGCAAATACGCCAAAATAAATATAAAAAAACATCCATAAGTGCACACAAAACTATGACCACAGTAACCAAGGCCAAGGCAAAGTAACATATTTGGCTCCCTGTTATTTGAATTCATTCAAGGCCCCCAAGGATTATACCTCTTTGAGTATACAAGGGAAGTTTTCCAGAAAAATTATCTAAAAGAAAATGATTGGACATACACACCCTTAAAGCAAGTGCCAGTGGCGAATGTGCAGAATCAAAGTGTTGTTGTGCCGCATTTGTATGTTCTAACATTCCTTTCTGGAACGTAGCATCTACTTGCTCAAACATTGCCTTACATGACTTCTCAAATGCAGGTACCACTGAAGCTTCCATACTAGACTTAAGAGCATCCTAATGTGCAAAGGTCAAAACATTAGTACAGAAGTTTTCCAAACCAAAGTAACGCATTAGATATTCAGATTAAAAATAGAAGGAAATTAACAAGATGACATAATACATACCTGAAGAGCTTGTTTGCCAGAAGTTTGGAACTGCGCCTGTATTTGCCTGGAAACAGTTGCTTCAAGTTTTGAGTTAACCGATTTTTCCAATTGATTAACTGCCTTATCACCAACTCCTCTCTGCCACACAAGCATCAATTAGATAACTATACACCAACGTTATTATAGAATGCGTCAGATCATTTAAAATTCTAACCTGGAAGGAATCAGAAATAGCTGGAGGTATTGCTTTCTCAACAGCTGGAGTTATAGCACGAGCAACAGCTGGTCCAACGACCGCCAATTCCTTCTTCACCATTTTCTCTAACATGACTGGAAAGTCCTTGTTCATGAAGTTATTGATCAAGCTAGTTATTTGCTGATTACGGTCTCGCAATAACTTCTCATTCTTTGCATTCTCTTCTTGAAAACGAGCCCATAAAGCATCATTATTGGCCTTTACAGCCTTCTCCATACTCCGCCCAAGAGCCGCCTCTAATCTTCTCCCCTCCTTCGTAACTGGGACTGCAACCATCATTGTCATCTGCTTTTGCAGTTCTTTCTGCATAGTCAGTAGCTGTACAAATGACAAAAGAGCTACAGTTAAGAAAAGGATGATGCCAATAAAGACAGGTCCAGAGTACACATCTACCACACAAGTAGCAATAAGCAAACATGCTTCTTCTTCACTTTTTCCAAAGTACACAAAAATGCGAAATAGGACAAGGAAAACCATATCAAGACGAAGGAAAGGAAAGAATTATAAAATAGTTTATATGTCATACATTCATGTAGGGAAATTAGCAATCACCTGATTAATCGTATCCTGCATGGCCATAATTTGAGGAAATGCAGCTTCTGCAGAGGGAGGGCTTGAACTCCCTCCTGGTTCATTGTTGGAATCTATTGAATTGAGCACATTTGGTGACGGGGAAGATTGACCTGATGCTTGAGAGTTTTTCCACTTCTGTTTTTTCACTTTTGTAGTTGGTGTATGCGATTGAAAAACTGTTGGGGTGGTACATGGCCCAGATACATCTTTTGCAGATTCCTGGTCTTCGTCTCCAGCATTAGACTGGGCCAGTGTTTCTGTCATGCTGGAATCATCAACTTGCCGAGCTTCATCTGTAGTATATGTTTCGGCTGATATTGCACAGCATTCTCGGGCCATCTCAATTCCAAGATCTGATGCCTGGGAGCAAAAGAATTTTTCCTTATTTTCTGAAACAACATTTTGAGGTTCTCCTTGAGATCCAAATTCATCATTTTGAGTAGATCTTGCTTCACCCACTACTTTAACCTCCACCTCAGCATTACCCATATCACTGTTAACAATCACATCTTGGATATTTGCCTCCCCTTCATTCTTGCTGTCAATAGGATTAGTACCTTCAGAAGATGAAGCAGCCATTAAAATCTCAGAGGGAGTTATAAGATGGGTTGGATGTTTGAACATGATAGGAGGATTGAGC